ACGGCCATTACATCATGTGCAAACAACGCAAAGGAACTGTACTGCACAAAAGTGCATTTTGCCAAAGAGAGGTTGCAGGGGCTGTGACGTGCTCGTCGGAAGAAAAGACCCCTAAGCGCATCCAAAACCCCGAACTGGGTGGGTGAAAAGACGTTCCTTCCACTGTGTTTCTATGATGGAAGTGGCAACCAGAGGTCTGAAAGAGTTATGTGGACATCTCGAAGTGCTCTGTCAACTTCAAAAACTGCCTTGACGAGGCGGTTGCGCAATAGTCGTAAACACAAAGGCCGATAACAGGGTTTTAACGATGCTCGTTATGCAGCGCCAGACAAACCGTGAAAGAGCTCCCGCCGGCATCGTGACGATCTTTGCCATCAGAGCTGAGCTGAGCTGGGCGAATACGATCTGGAAGCGATTGCGTTCCGTTGATTGATCGGACACAGCTTTTAAGTATTAATGACAATCCACAAATCATCGCGCAAGACATGGGAGTGCTAGAGCGAGTGCACATAAATACGAGGCGCAGACGACAGATGACGCAGCGAGCGTGTACGGGAAGGAGAGCGACAGGGAGTGATTGACAGGTGGTGATGGATTACATGTGTCAGATAAAAGATGCGTTTGAACTGCCGCCATTCGGCCGTCAATCAAGGAGCGACTGTCTTTACAGTAATTGTTGGCGAAGTGACAAGGGAAGATGGACGCCGTCACACACGGCTGAATGCCACAGCCTTTTCGGGGCCATGCCACCTAAAGTGGGGTCGACGAAAAACTGACGCTCACTGCTGCAGAACGCTTGAGGTTCCAGCAGAACGAATGTCTGCTAGATGAATGATGACTGAATGGAACGGACTTGGTTTGTCGTCGAGGTAACTTAAGTGGCCACTTCAAGGGCTGCGTTGTCAAGAACGAATAGGACTGTTGGTTTCACTGGAATATTTGTTGCCAGCTCCAGAAACAGCGTTACTTGTAGGAGCATTTGATGAAGGGTTACAAGCTCGGAAGAGTTCCTAATCAGAGGATTCTAGAGGTCTACAGCGGTGTGGGGACACCACAGTTAGGAAGTCATGAAAGGCTCGTATTAGCAACATTTGACCAAGCAATCGTAGGCTTTTTCTGGGCAATAAATGACCATTTCAATAGAAATGGAGCATTAAAGTCACAAAGGCTTGGCGTTACAACCTAATTTGCTGAAGACAATTTCGATCTTGCCACCGTTTTCTTTCCTCTTACGGCCCAGTGTCCTCTCCAGACCTTCAGTAGAACGACAATTTTTGAAACCCACTTGACTGATCCTACTAGTACTGGCGCTAATTCCTTACCAGTTGCTACCTACAACGGGGCCAAGATATCACTACTGTAAGAGAGGGTTCAAAGGGGGCAAAGTTAGTGAAAACCACTCACTACCTTCTACCGCCCCATTCAGCTTGACGGTACGAAAGAGCAGTTGAGCTGTGATTTCAGGCGTCAAATGGCTAATTAGCAAATGCGAGGAGGCGATTAATGAGATAAGAGGAGTCATTAACGGCTGATGGAGCCTGCAGATGCTCGTGGACAAAGCCTTTGATCGTGGGGTGCTTATAGCAAATTAACACCTCTTAAGACTCTCACACAACACTTTATCCTGGTGTCCCCGCCCGCGATTGCTAGGGTATTTATCGGTAGTTTTGACGGGGTCTGTTGGGTGCTGGTGAGGATGAGGGATTGCTGCTGGTGGTATGGTGGTGGTTTGAATGTACGGGATGATCGTCAATCATACGCGTCCGACATTCGTCACGAGCGTACTGACAAAAACCTCTTAAACGAGAGCACAAATACTCACAAACGACCCCTCCAATCACAATAAATCGGCTCTTCGAACTCTCTTAACTTCAGCTTTGAACAAACTAGGGTTGAATTAAACTGGGACCTCATTTGGGAACCCAGAAACATCTGTGCAACTAGTGAATGAATCACTAAACACTATTTAATGATACCTTCGTCATTGAAAGTGGGGCTGCACTGATAAGGGCTTTATCAGCTGCTGATGACCCCCGTCTGCATACACTACAAACTTCGCCAAACACTAGTCTTTTATAACATCTGAATATAATAATAATAATAAACAAACTCGTAATCTCATTTGAAACTTTGAAATACAAAAAGAGAAACACATCGAGTGAGAGAGCACTAACGGCACCTGTTAAATTACCCGTATTGAGTGTACAATTCTACAAAATAGAAAGAAAAATGAAATCAAAGTGGTCTAGGGATGAGGCATGGTGGACATGATGCGCTGAGCGTACATTGCCTGCAAAGCTGAAGGAAAAGGCATCATCGGAGGCATGGGAAGCGTGGTGGGCTTGGAGTACGGATGAAAACGAGGTAGACTATTTCGGCTCAAAGGCGTTTTTGAGACCTCGGGAGCAGCAGAAGGGGCACTGGACGGTGGGGATGGTGTGTGCAGCTGCTTGACGTGCATGGCGAGCTCGTCAGCGGTAGCGAACTGCTTTCCACATATGCCGGTCGTCTCGACCCACGAGCACATGTGCTTGCCATGAGTTGATGACTTTGAAGCTGTTGCCGCGGAAGCTGCAGATGTTGAAGGGATCGTCGATGCTGAAGGACCAGCAGACGTGGCCAACAGACTCTGGTAGGAAGCCGGCAGCATCGAGGTACTAAATATATAAACTTTAATGTTCATTAGATAAAAACTCGGAAATAAATAAATAAAAAGAAAAATATTCTAAATATCAAGTGAAGAAGAGGAAACTCTACCTGGAAGGAGAGGGCATCATTGAGGAGTAGGTAGAAAAGAGTGGATGCGCAGCGAACGACGAAAGCATATCCGACGAGCATGAGGTGCAACCGGGAGTGACGCACGGTCTTTGCATGAGCATTGATGGGCAAGGCGGACGAGCCACTGAGAAGGGCATCGGGAACGACGGAAACGACATAGTGTATGGCATCATAGGGTACGGAAAAGGGAATGCGAGGCCGGGAGAGAATCCAAGTGGGAACGTCGGTTTTGGAAGTCCTGGAAAAGTCGTTGACGTGACAGGATCGACACGTGTAGCCGTAGGCGTCGCCCGTGGTGACCTCTCCTTCTTCCGGTCAGACGGGCTATCGGCCTTCTTCACATCGTCCTTCTTCTCCGAGGGACTTTTCTTCGACGGCGTGTCAGGCAGGCCGATCGTCTCACAAGTCTTGGCCAGCATGGCCAGCGGACTTTTGCCGGGTTCTACCTAAACATGAATTCGGTCAAGATCATCTCTTGAAACGCGAAGAGGGAAAGGTCCCGGATCACACTTCATTAACGTGTGCATCAAGGGCTTTTCCGTCTCTTCCAACTATGGAAGTACTGTGCAGACAATAGGACCAAGAAAAAACAACTAACACTTGATGTAGGTGTGAAGTCGGTGATGTATTGAGAGTGAGTGGATACCATGTCAGCAGACAAGAATGCGTGCGAGTGACAGGCTGAAGAGGCGGCCCATGTCGGCACATCAAAGGCCGTTATGGAGGCGGAGTCCGTTGCAGCTGGCCAATGACCGCGCGCGACAGGGGCGGAGCGGCAGCAAACGCCCAATCCGCAGGAGAATGATGGACCGCGTCGGAAACATATATCAAGAAATTTATGATCTGTCAATCGGCAATCACCGCGAGAGCATAGCGCTGGCGGAGGGTGGGGACCGGTGAGATGGCCGAACGAGCATGTGGAGGCCGGAGAAGACAGAGTGATGCATGGGTGGGGGACGTGTTAGTAGCAAGACGGTACTTGGCAGAGTGATTGAGTACATTGTTTGTGGAAGATGAAAGAAGTGAAGCAGCGTACAATACCAACGCAAGGAAATGACTACTGCATTAGACGGCCGCCCTCCGGCAAACCATCCCAGCTGCGGGGGTCACTTCAGGAGCTGATTCATTCCATAGTGCATGAGAACATTGCTGCTGTATCACGCAGTGAATGGCCAGGTGAAGCACCAAAAGAGAGTATGTTTGATAGTTTTCACTTACTACATCGAGGGATAAAGGACACCCAGACAGTTAGGGATTACAGACTTGCTGCTACCTACCCAGGAAGGTTGAAGAATTAGTTATAGTCGAAGTCTAAAAGTGAATCTTAAGTTGCTTTGATGGATTTTTTCTGTGCCAGTTGGACTCGTTTTCTTGACAGGGCGAACAGTTCAAATCACGCGCTGCAATAATGATTTAGAAGACGAGTTCTTTGGCAGCTGTTACGTATTGCGCCAAATGGCGTCAATCACCTATGAAACTGCCCCTTCATGCCATTTGAACAATTCCTGGGATTTTCTCCGAGGGTGCCATGGGGTGCCTCCGAGGGTGGAATGCAATTGGTAGTCACCAATAGTGACCGTATACGACTTGGCCTGATGCGTATGTGTACGTAAGGGGGTGATGAGAGATGTCTGCGCTCTCTGTGTCTCTTTGTTCTTCTGGCGCGCTGTCACTGTTCATCCATCTTGATCAAATGTGCCGCTCTGTGATTTCTATCGTTTCTTACAGGCTGTCTGTCATACATCAACAGACGCGCTGCCCCGCTCTTTTCACCCAACACCCCTTGAACACTGCTGTCCGAACTGATGACGACTTCGACTTACGCGCAACGGAATCCTCTTCCCTTCTGAAGAGCCCCTTTCAGAGCCGCTTCTGCTCCACGGATAGCTGATGCACATTATGACTGCCGATGTCTTCTCGTAGACCAGTAGCGGCACATGTTCAATGGGAAGCTAGTTGATGACTCGGAGTTGGTTGTGGAAAGTGATAAATCACCAGTGAAAGCCGAGCAATTCTCAAAGGACCCGTTTATTAGATGTCAAATGGTATGCGGAATGACATGCGATTCCTCATGGTCGCTGCTTCTTTCCCTCGATTCACTTGACACATAGCAAAAGACCAGAAATACATCTAGCGTTTTGCTTGGTGTGTTGCTCCAAGTGATAAGTAAGGGGACTTCCTGCTTGCCTTTGTCCCTCGAAGCTGTCGCCCACTGTGGAGACCTGTGGCGAGCGTTTTGACTGAGATAATCGACTCTGATAGAACGGGATCGCACCTGCTGGGATCGTTATCTCGTCAGCATCTTTCCCACCACTGTTGACACTAATCTCTATTGCAAGAAAACATTGGAAGCATACTATGACCAAGACCCCTTCAACAGTATCTGAGCCTTTTTGAGATTTTCTTTGAGCAGGGTGCCTAAGCGATAGGTAGTTCCTACTTGCTTAGTGGCAGACCATCTCCCCAACAGTCACGTTTGCCGGAATAATCTGTTATCCATGAAGAGGGTGTTGTACACTTGCATCTGTCAGCAATCACAAGGCAGTCAATCTTCAGCTCATTTCAACATAACAAAGGATGCAACCGCAACAACTATCATCACTATCGGAACTTTACACAGTGGACTTTTAACAGTTAGATTATAATTACGTTTGGGAAGGACCTAAGGCTGTTACTATTTCTTGTCCAGGTAACCCCACATTTACGAAGGAGACACGTTCCCTGGAGCTTCTTCATCCTGTGGGAAAGGCGCCCAGAGAAGTTCACGAGTGATAGGTAGCTCATAAAAATAGCCAGTCGAAATCGGAGTTCTCCGAACATCATGAATAAGTGTAAACAACAACATAAACGGTACTGTAAATCATCCAAGTACTGGTAAACTACTCGCCCTGAGCACTTTCAGAGCGCTGAAATCGTCGCATTCATGTCCTCCAGATGCTCATCTTTATCCATTGATTGAGCAAATGGAACAAAAGTGAAATGCCCTTGATATGAGCCAAGATTTCTGCTCGTAAACGGTAAATAATACGCAATGAATTTGTTTACGGGGAGAAGGGCCTTGCCAAAGAGTATTACTACTGCTTCTGATCCATTCCCACTGAATGAGGAAGCTCTGAAGTGAGCTAGGCCAAGCAATGTGCCCGAATCAGACTCTCAGAGTGGTCCTACCGGGTAAACCAACATTGCCCGTTGAACGGTACCTCGTTGCACTCCCGTTCAGGGTATCACAATCTTTTTTCAACGATCCTGAATGCCTTATAGGTAAACAGGAGCTTTCGACAGCTTCTGTTGCTTTTCGTCATCGACGACGGCTGTGAGCGACGGACGGGCGTTAACGAGCGACACCGGGGCCGTATAGTGCTGTGCGGACAAGAACTAAACGAGTATTTTATTGCTGCGGCGGCGTAGCAGAAGCGTATCTTATCTTCTTCGGGTGTGCTGCTGTTTACGACTTGACAGCGGCTTCCTTTGGCAACTGTCACTGTAAATCTTATTCGATATTTTGGGTCGCATCGAAATCAAACTCAAGCAGTTCAATTCGAATCAACACTCTCTTAGCACAGCCGACAGCAGTGATGATGTGAGTCGTGTAATTCTGAATGACAGCCGAGCGGGAAATTCCTTAGTTGATGGGTTCGGTCACCGCGAACCTTTTGTTCGAGTTTATTCAGAACCATCACTCTTCTGGAGCTTGGAAGCATGACTGCATTCACCAAGAATCACTGAGGTACCATAGGAGGTGGCCAAAAACATAAGGTTCGTTCCCATGTCCCCACGTCGTTTGAGCAGTTCAAAGGAGTCCTGATGAGGAACACAGGATTTCGTCAAGCTGAGTGGGTGTAAGGTGAGGACCCACTCTTCCCAGAACCTAATTGTTTGCAGAGTGTGAAGTGTTGATGTGGGGTGCTGTTTCGCACATTTCGCGCCTCTACCGTATTCGGTCGTGATGGAAGATGCTATCGCTCTTCATTTGTCAAATCGTCTCCACTTCTTTTTACGAACCGAATCCCAGCTGGGGATCTCAACAGTCAGCAGACACAGTGTTAGAAGATTTCTATCGCTTGAAATTAATTATTAAAATTCTTTCGAAATGACGGCAAGACTACGGCTAAGAGAATATTCACCTGCGTTGGAACTACATCTGTGAACATTCAAGCCCAATTCAACTCGGGATTGGACCCGAAGGTCCGATGCCCCCACGAGAAAAGTGCAACGATATGAGGCATTGGCATTGCAGAAATACTTTGCGAATTTCGAAAACAAATAAATCAAATGTTATGAATGGATTTCAAAATGACGGATGGAATGCACTGCAGGGAGTCGTGAATGCTCTCAGATTTTAGTATACTCCGCTTGCTTTCATGTAGAAGTCATTTTTCTGTTCCACTGGCATTGCTGAGGTTACGGGATGGATTGTGAGTCACCATCTTCTTAGAAGAGACGATTCTCGATTTAAAGCAGTACTGGCATTCGATCCATTCGATCCAAAGCATAGGCTTTTTTACTGCCGCTGAATTTATTTAGAAAAATTTTGTCAAGAAATGAGGAAATAGCTTTCCTTGATCTAGATTGTGTGTAAAGGAAACGGTAGGCTGGGTCATCCTATATGAGCGCTCCTGGTGACTTGAAGCTAGGGCTGTTGAGATTTGTATGCTCTCCATCCATCACAGTCAAGTCTGTCATCTCGAATGAAGAAACACTGAACGCTATGAAGCCAGCAGAAAGCAAATGGTCTGAAAATAACTATTTCCCACTGATGGAATGTTCGAGCACTCATGAGGTCGAGTCATGGTTGTGGGAGGTCATCGGTGCCGAAGTAAATCGACGCTTTCATTATGCTTGTGTGATTGGCTTTCATTAGAAGAAGTCTTTCAGTGTTATTTTTTTCTTCACAATGAACAACTAGCAAAGTCATGCTCAAATGTATGAATTTTTTGAAAACGTCTTCTATAATTATTTTTATGACCGGAGTAAGACGACCACCATCCAACAGTGCCGATTCAATTTTTCTACTTGCCATATCTCAGGCATTCAGAACAGCGGAGCATTAAAGTGCTAATGAATAATTATAACTTTAAATGCTATAATTTAGTATAGCTGTAACGTGCTACACTTGAGCTTGAAACAAGAAAAAAACAAAACTGAAGTCTGGAATATTATATGGTCTGGGGGGATCGGTTGAGTTAAGCTGTCAGCAGAAAAATCAGAGCCAATGCCAGAGAAAGGAGAGGTTTGAAGTTGCTGAAGACAGTTGTTGGCCTAAAAACTGGAAACTGTAAAAATTACACGCAGTTTGTATAAAAAAAACCAAAATTGAAATTTCGTTCACGAAGCTCATTAGGAATAAAGGGAGAGGGCTTCGAGATCTGATGATGAGCCGGCTATCCTCGAAATCACACAGAAATGAGAGTGCAGTTTGTCATTCGGAACTGATAAGCTTGTCGTC